ATTCTTCATCCACACCCGTGGATTGCGCGTATCTTTTTGTTTTTGGGAGAGCCAAATTTGACTAATGGCACCTTGTATTCCAAAAGTAGAGAGCAATTTTCTTTCAGAAGAAAGGAAACCAAAATGTAAAAAGCAATGGGACAGGATAATAATCATGTAAGCATGCCAGTTGGTGAATTATTGCAAGCATTAACAATGATGCAGGGGGGCCAGGTTGCGCGTTTGCCTTTTTATTTTTAATAATAGAAACAGTGCGATTGAAGTCATTGAACTCTAATTTTATTTTTGACTAGAAATGGTTTTCTTTTCTTTTTTTTTTTAATCTTGAGATTTTTTAAGATATAGGTCAAAAAAAAGAAAAAATTAAAAAATTTTAACATTAAAAATATAATGATATCTAATAATGGTTAAAATGTTTTTTAAAGTATTTTTTTTAAAACTACCTTGATTTACAATAATCTTTTTTTTTGGATGAAAAGAAATAAAAAGGCAAAATCAACAGGATAAGATAATCATGACGATGGGTAGGTGTTGAATTATTGGCAAGGGCAAATAAAGCAGTGAGACCCACTGCGGGCCCAGTTGTTGCTGATACAAGAAAATGATAAAGCTACATAGAGTTAAAATTTTCTGTTGCAAGGACTATTTTGCCCCTGTCATGACCAAAATTATCTTCGTCCCCTGCTTCCAATTTGGTGAGGTTTCGAAGACACCTTCCTGCATTGACTTCAAGTCAATTCCATCGTCAATGGCGATTGGCAATAAAAAAATAATGAGTAGTTTTACGGACTCTAACCTCTCTCGACTATAATCGGTGAATGTGCACAGGGAGATCCACGCAAACTGTTTCTTACTACAAAAAGAATAAAAGGAAGGTAGAAAAAAGTATATAAAGGGAGAGCCACGCAATTTATTTTTTTGGAAGAAAAGAAATAAACAAAAAAAAAAGAAAAAAAAGCAAAAGCAATAGGATAAGATAATCATGTCGTTGAGCAGGTGTTGAATTAGTGGTAATGCTGATACGGGAAAATGATAAAGCTACACTAAAGTTAAAATTTTCTGTCGCAAGGACTATTTTGCCCCTGTCATAACCAAAGTCATCTTCCTCCCTTGCTTCCAATTTGGTGAAGTTACGACGACACCTCCCTCCTGCATCGACTTCAAGTCAAGTCCTTCGTCAATGGCAATTGGCAACTAAAAATAATGAGTAGTTTTACGGACTCTAACCTCTCTCGACTAGAATCGGTGTAGGTGCACAGGGAGATCCACGCAAACTGTTTCTTAACCAAAAAAAAAAGTTAAAAGAAAAAAAAAATTGAAATCCTAAAATAAAGTTATCATTCATTTTTAGAGTTTGTGAAACTGACTTCATGAATGAAAAGGGAGGTGAAAAAAGAGTATATTCGTCTAAAATGAAAAGATATAAGTTTGAAAACAGGACGATAATTAGTAAATAAAAAAATATTGTGCAGCATAAAATGTATTAAATTAAATTATATAATTAAATTATTAAATAAAAATAAATTCTTTTAAAATATATTTAATTTGAGAGAAAAAAATTTATTTTATTTAGTTCAAAAAATTTAAAGGAAAAAGGAAGGGAAAACAGTTTTTCATTTTATTTTTTTCTTTTAATTAATTTGTTTATCTACATTAGTTTTTCAAAAGAATTAAACTTTATTTGCTAAAAAAGTTTAAATACTCTTTATATATTTTTTAACTGTACAAAAATTTTATTTTTCATTAAATTATTTTTTATTATAATGATATAATTAGAATGTTAGACATAATTTTAATTATACAATTATTAT